CTGTTTTCCCCTCAAACCTCCCGGATTTAAAGTTAGAAAATCTGAGAACTATCTCCTTCAATCCTTCCTTCTAACCATGATAAATATGTTTATAAAAACCCCGCCCTTTCTCATCCTTCTTCCTTCCTTACACCCACGGGCTTAATTCACCCAGACATAATTTCATTAATCTTGGTGCAAGGCAAGGCGAGGAGTAGAATTATGAAGACTAATATAAGAGTTAATTTTGCTTAAACTTTGTGAATACTAATACAACCTGGCAAATGTATACTCTGAATACAAACCTGAACCCCAAAGTTGAAGGTTTATAATATTTATAGAGTTTAAATAAACTATTTAGTTGTACCCAGATTCGGAATGAGAAATAAAAAGGTTTTAAACTAGAGTTCTCTGTCCAAACATGGATTTTAATGTATCCTAACTCTTACACCTACTTAGCAATCCTAGAGCTTAACAGTTGAGATTTCAACAAGCTTAGATACATTCTGTGGACGGAGATAGGAAATGTGTTTGAACCTTTCAGGGTTTAGATATTTACTTCTTCTATCTCAGGTTTGATAAATGTATTTCTTCTTAGTTTCCCCAGGCTTCAATCCTTGCTCAAGGTGCTCTAAACCGTTCTTTAGAGAGATAGTGTCATAGAAACCATCTTTGAGTTGGTGTGAAGTCTTGAATTCTGGAGAAATAGTTCAACGTAAAAGTAAGATCAGGGGTGGAGTGTTGATCAAAACTATAATTTGTAAGATCAGGGGTGGAGTGTTGATCAAAACTATAATTTGTAAGATCAGAAGTGGAGTGTTGATAAAAACTATAATTTGTAAGATTAGGAGTGGAGTGTTGATCAAAACTATAGTTTGTAAGATCAGGGGTGGAGTGTTGATCAAAACTATAGTTTGTAAGATCAGGGGTGGAGTGTTGATCAAAACTATAATTTGTAAGATCAGGGGTGAAGTGTTGATCAAAACTATAATTTGTAAGATCAGGGGTGGAGTGTTGATCAAAACTATAATTTGTAAGATCATGGGTGGAGTGTTGATCAAAACTATAATTTGTAAGATCAGGGGTGGAGTGTTGATCAAAACTATAATTTGTAAGATCAGGGGTGGAGTGTTGATCAAAACTATAATTTGTCAGATCAGGGTTTTTTAACAAATCTTTATTGGAAATAGATCAGAACCTGGAAAGTACAATTCTGAAATACTCCTTCAAAGTAAGAACATTATTTGAGGATCACATTCCTATACTGGAGTTTGCAACAGGACTCCAGAAGTGTATCTCTTAGAACCGTTCATAAAGTAGAATTAAGATGGAGAAGTACACAATAACATTCAATTCAAACTAAACATTCATCCATAAAGATGAAACATCTCATAATCTTCTGCCAGTTTAGTTTAATTGTATTCTCATCAACTTCCAGATGCATAGATAGTAAGCTAGGTTTAGTAGATAAGATGAAAGATATGTCTAAATAGAGGTTGAGTAATTTCAGTAGTATCCAGTACACAAGCTCCTTATTTGGGTGCAGATTATAACAGGAATATAAATATCTTAAGGGGGGAGGAGAGGGTGAAGATTCTAATATAAAGATAGAATGCTAAACTTTCAACATTCCAAACTTTTTACGGAAATAAATAAATTTCCCACCTAAACCTTACTTTTTCATTGCATTTTCTTCTTACACAGATAGGAAGGATATTGTTATAATAAAAAAGGAGAAGTGCTAAAACTAACTTCATATATTCATAGAAAACCAAAATTCAGAAAAATCTCAAATATCCGTTCTTATGTAAACTCCTCTGTTATCTTTTTCCACATATTTTTATCTTCTCTCATGCGAATATTTTCTTTTCTCAATCTTCTATCAAAATTTGAGTCGGTTGTCTTTGATCCTCATTCTTATTTCTTTTTATGTAACCATCATGCTTAGTCTCCCTCCCCCTCTATCCCTTCATCCCCCCCCCGCACCACTAATCCGTCCTTATATCACCTATTTTTCTATTATCTAAGCAATCCTTCTGTTTTTCTGTTCTAAACATTATTTCATTCTAAACTCATCTCCTTTTTACCCAAGGATGCATTTTGTATTAGTTCTTTCCTAGTACGGATGTCTATCCTTTATTTTAAAAAATCATCAGTTTTGATTCTCTCCGACTGATTGATACACCAATTATTCAACGGATTTCTTTATCAATCTCTCCCAGATTGTTAAACATTTCTTTCTTTTATTTCTCGGTTCTTCCTTCTCTCCGAACTTGAATTATAATATCGCTATATTAAATATAAACTCCAACATTTACTAATCTGATCTTGAGATAGTTCTGGGTCTGGTTTTGACAAATTTTTTATTTAAATCTGGTTGAGATGTAATTTGTTAGAAGAACCAGACTTACATTGATAAACATGAAGGATCAAGGAATTGGAGAGGTTTAGAACTAAATTGAATGATCTGAAGCAAATATTTGAAGTTTGAATAATATAAGGGACTGTTTACTTATTCAGGAAATGGGGGAGGTACCAATTATGGGAGTTTCTATATAATACCATTCACTGGGATTTTACTATATTTCTGTAAAGACTTTCAGGTTTCTGTTTTATTAACATTTAATTAATAACATTTGAACAGTATTTATTATCATTACCTAACAATTATTAAAAAAAAGATTCATTTATTGAATTTTCAGAGACAATATATTTTCTTCATACATTAATTAGCACAGTTTATAGGATCAAACAAATCCAACCTTCTTATAACCGTTAAATAGTGTATGTAGTGTATGTATGCATCATGCATGTGTACAAAGATACAGAGAAACCCATAAAAATGAGGAAGATGGAAACGACATTTAGACTAAATTTATTACTTTAAATAGTTCAAAGAACATAAAATACAGAAATTGTTCACTGTGCATTGTACACAGACCCAATTTACGTAATAAGTTGGTTTTCAATCAATTGATATAACAGCATAAAATATAAATCAGATTAATCTAATATCGTCTTCCTAGTCCACAGTTATATGGGTCTCACTGTACATCTAATAGGTTTGAATCTACACTGTAATAACAGAGCAAACTGGAGGTGAATCTACAAGTAACCTAGCAAATAACAGAGCAAACTGGAGGTGAATCTACAAGTAATCTAGCAAATAACAGAGCAAACTGGAGGTGAATCTACAAGTAACCTAGCAAATAACAGAGCAAACTGGAGGTGAATCTACAAGTAACCTTGCAAATAACAGAGCAAACTGGAGGTGAATCTACAAGTAACCTAGCAAATAACAGAGCAAACTGTAGGTGAATCTACAAGTAACCTAGCAAATAACAGAGAAAACTGTAGGTGAATCTACAAGTAACCTAGCAAATAACAGAGCAAACCGGAGGTGAATCTACAAGTAACCTAGCAAATAACTTGGTTGTAAAGATAATACTATCCAGTGTCAATTAAAAGATATTTATGCCTAGCATCAATCCTCAGGATATCAATTAATCAATTAGATAAGGTCTGGTTCCTATATCTACTCAGGGTGCACTTCTATACTTGACGGGTTGGTTCATTTACTTAGGGAGTACTGTATATCCTTATCATATAGTTCAGTATTTAGCAGTGATCTGTACAATTCTTCCCACAAGTGTATATATATATATATATCAGTATATAATAAAGCTCAGTTCTTTATAAAGAATAAACCCAGTTATACTCTAAGGCATAAACCCAGCCCTTTAAAGAATAAACCTAGTGCTTTAAAGAATAAACCTATTACTTTAAAGAATAAACCTAGTACTTTCAAGAATAAACCTAGCACTTCCAAGAAAAAAAACAGTAATGTAAAGGATAAACCTAGTGCTGTAAAGTATAAACCTAGTACTGTAAAGAATAAACTTAGTACTGTAAAGAATAAACCTAGAACTGTAAAGGATAAGCCTAGTACTGTAAAGAATAAATTTAGTACTGTAAAACATAAACCTATTACTGTAAAAAATAAACCTAGTACTGTAAATTATACACCTAGTACTGTAAAGAATAAACCCAGTACTGTAAAGAATAAACCTAGTACTGTAAAGAATAAACCTAGAGCTGTAAAGGATAAACCTAGTACTGTAAAGAATAAATTTAGTACTGTAAAGACCAAACCTAGTACTGTAAAGCATACACCTAGTACTGTAAAGAATAAACCCAGTACTGTAAAGACTAAACCTATTACTGTAAAGAATAAACCAAGTAGTGTAAAGAATAAACCCAATACTGTAAAGGATAAACCCAGTACTGTAAAGATTAAAACCTGGTACTGTAAAGAATAAACCTTGTACTGTAAAGGATAAACCCAGTACTGTAAAGATTAAAACCCAGTACTGTAAAGAATAAACCTAGTTCTTAGACTAAACCTAGTTCTGTTAAGAATAAACCTAGTAATGTAAAGAATAACCCTAGTATTGTAAAGCAAAGAATAAACTTAGTATTTAATGTAAAGAATAAGCCTAGTATTGTAATGTAAAGAATAAACCTAGTATTGTAAAGCAAAGAATAAACTTAGTATTGTAATGTAAAGAATAAACCTAGTAGACACTTTAAAAGAACCAAATTACTCTAAACCTAAAAGAACCTTGTTTCTATAATAGTAAATTATCTACTGTAAAAAATGCAATGCATAAATAGAGTTTGCACTTTAAAAATGTAAATTTACAAGACTCCCGGCCCCTTACTCCAGAACAAGCGGAGGAATTTAAGTTTTTAAAATGTAAAACAGTTAAAAGTATAAAGTATTTTTTCCGAGTAAACAGCTTAACAAAGGAAGAACAATAATCAAAGTACACAAGATAAAAATAGATTTTTATAGATTTACATAAGTCACTATTTTCCAAATGTTTCTGTTCATTGTTGAAACTTGTTTGTTTATTTTTTTTGTAGTGTTTCTACTGTTTAGTGTACAATGTACATATTAAATGATATAAAATCTAGTTTAATTTTGACCAACTGTAAGGATTAGTGTAAACCTAGTTTACCTGCATAAACAGAGTTTATTGGGGAGATAGGGTTAACTTTATATATTCACAGGGAGGATTTAACTTGGAATCCTGCATCGAGGATTAAGGTTTTTATCTCTAGGATACCTAGGATACAGAGAGAAGAAACTTGTCCCGGTTCACTGAGCTCATATCTACTCCGGAGTTCTAGAATGACTGAATAGTGAATACTGGCGCACAAACTCCGCTTCAAACTCAGCTCCCCGGAAAAAATATTTGGTTTTGCGCTTAATATTTGCAAATCTGCGGTGTTTATGTGAGCAAATCAGTAAAAAATGTTGGACATGGGTAACGAGTTAAAAACTTAAAGGTGCAATGAAAGGTTAACAGGAGGNTTCTTCTTGCGACACCTCTAATGCAATCCTTCTCCCGATCTTTCAATAAACCCTCTGATTCTTCTACTGCCCTACGATATCCACCCTAAAACCATTCTTCTCCCTTTCTTCCTGCCAAAACCCTGGTACTATCCAATCTTTCCTTCCCTTCCATCCCTACGTTCCCCGTCAAGAATCAGGTTAAGCCCACCAACTTGTGTCACGTGAAATAAATTCAATATCACCTAGAAAAGGGTTTGTAACTCCATATTTGGAATAGATAAGACATTAAAGGATATCAGAGGATGGATAAGATCTGGTTTTATACTCCACAAAGAGTGGTTTATTAATTAGCTCCGGGGTCTCAAGTTCGTGATGTCAGGATCAGAATAGGATTGGGAAATTCAAACATGCCCCCATATATTTTAAAATCAATAAGAAAAGAAGAGTTTTGTCAACTACAAACTCTTTTAATTCTTGATGTGGTAGATGTATACAGATCAAACCTAATAGAATCTACTTTTAATAAGTTTTTATCAAGCAAAGACGACATTAAATTTACACTCCGCTACAAAAATGTTACTTTTTTGTCTGTAAATTGTGCTAGTTAGGGGCAGATAAATTTAAAACATTCTTCATTAATGACCGTATTAAAAGCTGTTTATTTCGTTGTAAAAGCAATTTATTTTGCAAGAATTTAATTTTTTGAAAGTTATGAAAGAGTATTATTAACCAGTTATCCTACAGGTTTCAGGTTGTTTAATAAATGAGAATTTTGATAAATGGTTTAAAAGTATCTAAGTTCAACTTAAGTTTGATATATTACCGGCTAATCCAAGTGCACAGGCACAAACACCATTCAGAGATTTGAGTTTAAGAAAATTAACATTTATATGATTGTTTGTATAAAGTGTACTGTATACTAATGACTTCTATGTTCACAAGATTATGGCCCAGGTAATATTTATTTAAATGCAAACCTATAATGAGAAACAATTTGTAAAACAACTTCACAAACACAAACAAAAATTTACAATTTTAATTTTCAACAACTTAAACTGCAATAACTCCAAGAACTAGAAACAGGGATCAAGTTTAGTTGACCGGTTTCCTCCAATTCACCTTGTTAACCAAAACCAGTGAATTTTGGCAACCTGAGAAGTCTGGCCAAACCTAGAGATATTATGCCTAACCTAGAGCTCAAAGCTGTAGTACGCTTTTGCCACAAGAGATACCATGTCTAACCCTAATCTAGTAACTTTATGACTTCGGAGTTATCCAATGACAATTAATAATTCTTAAAATCATATTAAATCTTTTAAAAATAAACCGGAACCAGTACACTTCAGCACCCGGAGATATCTTGGTTGACTCCAATGTGATATTCATGTGCACCCGGAGATCATGATCAAACCAAACTCTGTATACTGATGCACCTGGATCAGTCAAGATCTATTGTTCCAATGTTCTTTAACCATTGTTTAGTGTTGAGGTAAGGTATGGAAAGGCCTGATACTGGATATGAATAGCCCCACGATGTCTGTGCATGAATGTAAGTATATGGAGAATGAACTAAATATGTTTCATTAGATTTAGAATAAATGAAGACTCAGCAGAAAAGACACAAGTGGAAAAAAGGTAAATATCTAAAAACAAACAGAATAAGAAGAGAGTGAGTTATAGAGCCCTTTTTCGATTTTTGAAAGTACATTCATTATTTGATGAAAATTAGAAGTCTAGAAAAGATTGAATGCAAAATTTAATTTAAATCTATGTACTTCCCCCCCCCCCAGGATCTTTAGGGTTTACTGATAAACAACCCATCAGGATTAGTCAAACCTTCTCAAATGCCATGCAACCTAGAACTAAATCAGTTTTATCAAATAAAGAATTCTTATTTAAACTTATTCCAAAAGAAGTTCTAATCTAATAATTTCTATATTAATTATAAACCTTTCTCCCTCCTGATCTTCCAGCTGATCTCTCCTGATCTCTCCTGATCTGTTCTGATCTCTCCTGATCCCTCCTGATCTCTCCTGATCTCTCCTGATCTCTCTTGATCTCTCCTGATCTCTCCTGATCTCTCCTGATCTCTCCTGATCTTTCCTGATCTCTCCTGGTCTCTCCTGATCTCTCTTAACTTGATTAGTTCTGATCTGTTCTGATCTGTCCTGATCTCTCCTGATCTCTCCTGATCTCTCCTGATCTCTCCTGATCTCTCCTGATCTCTCCTGATCTCTCTTAACCTCGTTTGATCCCTACTGGCCTATCCTGATCTATCACTTCCACCCGAAAGGGTTGGGTTTAAGCTCCTGGTGCTGAACCTGCTTGAGATCTATTATCTACTCCACCCTGAGATAAAAATCAATTGTGGAACCCCATCCGATAAATTATATTTCGTTTATCATTGCAAAGAGATGCAAAGGATATAAAGAACTTCATTTAGCTGTAAGCTGTTCAATATACTCTATACGGGTGTCTCGGAATAAAAGAACTAAAAACCAATTTTTCAGTTGGAATACTAATTCCCACCATGAAAATAGAGACAAACAACATACAGGGTGTTTCGAAACTTCTATTATTATTAAAATTGTCGATAGTATGTAGGGACACCCTGTGTTCCTGGGCCAAATCTTGTAATAGACACTCATATAGATAAGAACCAAGTGTTAGAAGAATAATTTATCGATACGATTTTATTCTGTAGTTTCATGACCAGGCATCCAAACCATTCTATAGTTCCATGACCATGGAAACCAATCTATTCTGTAGTTTCATGACCAGGCATCCAAACTATTCTCTAGTTTCATGACCAGGCATCCAAACTATTCTATAGTTTCATGACCAGGCATCCAAACTATTCTGTAGTTTCATGACCAGGCCTCCAAACTATTCTCTAGTTTCATGAACAGGCATCCAAACTATTCTATAGTTTCATGACCAGACATCCAAACTATTCTCTAGTTTCATGACCAGGCATCCAAATTATTCTATAGTTTCATGACCAGGCATCCAAACTATTCTGTAGTTTCATGACCAGGCATCCAAACTATTCTATAGTTTCATGACCAGACATCCAAACTATTCTCTAGTTTCTTGACCAGGCATCCAAACTATTCTATAGTTTCATGACCAGGCATCCAAACTATTCTATATTTTCATGACCAGGCATCCAAACTATTCTATAGTTTCATGACCAGGCATTTAAACTTTTCTACAGTTTCATGACCAGGCATCCAAACTTTTCTATATTTTCATGACCAGGCATCCAAACTATTCTGTAGTTTCATGACCAGGCATCCAAACTATTATGTAGTTTCATGACCAGGCATCCGAACTTTTCTATAGTTTCATGACCAGGCATCCAAAATATTCTGTAGTTTCATGACAAGGCATCCAAACTATTCTGTAGTTTCATGACCAGGCATCCAAACTATTCTATAGTTGCATGACCAGGCATCCAAACTATTCTCTAGTTTCATGACCAGGCATCCAAACTATTCTATAGGTTCATGACCAGGCATCCAAACTATTCTATAGTTTCATGACAAGGCATCCAAACTATTCTGTAGAGGACCCAAACTATTCTGTAGTTTCATGACCAGGCATCCAAACTATTCTATAGTTTCATGACCAGGCATCCAAACTATTCTATATTTTCATGACCAGGCATCCAAACTATTCTGTAGTTTCATGACCAGGCATCCAAACTATTCTATAGTTTTATGACCAGGCATCCAAACTATTCTGTAGAGGACCCAAACTATTTGTTTATAAACTAAAATCAAAACTTTCCCAATGAAGTAAACTAATGAAAAGTTTCGCTTTATATTAAAGAGTGAAACCACATCAGGATAGGTTTAATCTCAGGTTAAATCTCAGGTTTAATCTCAGGTTTAATCTCAGGTTTAATCTCAGGAATAATCTTAGGTTTAATCTCAGGTTTAATCTCAGGTTTAATCTCATGTTTAATCTCAGGTTTAATCTCAGGTTTAATCTCAGGTTTAATCTCAGGTTTAATCTCAGTTTTAATCACAGGTTTAATCTCAGGAATAATCTCAGGTTTAATCTCAGGTATAATCTCAGGTTTAGCTGAAAATTCAACAAGATATTTACTAAACCTTGTATAGATAAGTTCTCCTGTTTTAATATTAAAACCACTAGCTATCTTAAATATAAATTGATCCTTTAATATTTAGCTTTTAAGACATGGTTTAAATCCCTAGCGAGCTGCAGTGAACAATTGAACCCATTTTATATTTGCAATTTGAAATAAAGTTGGTTGAATAAAATGTTGTTCTGAACCAGATCAAAGATTTTTACTGTCACCTCTGAAACCCCATTAGAGTGCATTGTGCAATGTGCATGAATAAATGCAGATTGAACCATACACTGCATGTTCTCAAATTATTCTGGCTCATTATTATAATTATTTTGATTATCATTATCCTCAGCTTGTATGGATATCCACCCAATTTACATTATCATTAATTAGGTGTTAAAATTCATACACCATAATATTATAAATTAACTACACATTTCTTTTCAAGAGTTTACGTCAATTAAAATGCATATTTATATGAATATGAAAAACTGTATATTCTAAAAATCAATTCTCCACCGCTCTTTAATTCTTGTTATTATTTTTTAATCAAAAAAGATAACAATGTATGGAGCTTAATCCAAAATACTGGGTAACAAATGTTCGAAAAAATATATTTTTTCATTGCAAAGCAATCATAACATATTAATGAAAGTTTTGATGATTAAAAAGTTATAAAACATTAAATTACACCCTCATCTCCCTTATACTTTCTTCA